GAGAACAGGGTAAGGATAGCTTTTCCCTGAGCCCCTGTACAGAACGAGCAGTTCTACTTTCTTTGCCACTACTGATCTATTCGCTGCTTGTTAACAACATCAGCGGGTGCCCGCTCCTCAACAACCAGCATTCTTTTGCCATGTGACCCCAAAAACGCACCTAAAAATGCACCTTGATTGTGTTTATGGTGTGTTTCCCATAGATAGAAGGTGCAGCTTTGGTGCACTTTTGAAAAGTGCACCAAGATGCAGCATGCAGTATTTCAAACTGCAGCGCAGTGATATTAAACGTCTCATAGAATTTAAAGGGAATTCATTTTGATGCTTTTTTTCTCCACTAGAAAGGTGCATTCCAGCACGGCAAAAGCGCATTAGTGGGAAAGGGGTCTTTGCACTGAAACCAGTATGGTAGCCAAAGAAAAGGCATTATTCAAAAGGAACTTTCTGCAATGATAGCCCACTTGTTTAATAACAACCGTACCTTCCAATTTTGTGAGAAAATTTGCAATACATCCCTAGAAAAATAAATCTCAAATAATTGTTGAGAGATAAATCTCTCCATCCTATTTTATTGCAGGGAGGAAATTCAATGCAAACACCCCGTATGAACTAAGAAGGGTGTGGCCCTTTCATGGGAGATCCCCTTCACTACAGCAATAGCTGTTCTCCTGAAAAACCAAAGTAATGCAAAGAAAGCAATACAGGGTTTTCATAGTGAAACAATATAAATCACCCCAGTAGACCTAGCCATTATATGGAGACACCAATAAAGTGCCACTCTAACCAAAACTTTCTCTACTAGTTTTAGATTGGGTAGGGAACAGTTAGAACCTCTGAGAAGTTTTTTTTTTTTTTTTTTTTGCTGCCTGTGGCTTGTTAAGAAGAATTCTCTTCACTTCCTGTCCTGGTGACATCATTGGCACTCTTGCCAGTGGAAATCTTAAATGGGGACCCAGGCGGCAATAAGGGTTTGTTCACATGAGCTTTGCCCTCTTAAGAGTGATCTGTGTTCAGGTCACTCTTCAGAAAGTTGACAGGTGGTGTCACCTCCTCACTGCCTGCTTTAACCCTGCACTCAACCACAGGGCGCTTGCAGATCCCCCCTACTTGAAAGTGGCAGGGGTAGGATTCCCAAGACCAGCTCCAAAGTGAATTCTTCAAATGAATAGAAGGAGAATGCGCTGCAATGAGGGGGAAGAAAAGTGCAGCTCATAGGTCACCAGGAAGAAAGTCAGCGGACATTTCCCAAGCTGTGGCACAGGCAGCAATAAAACTGAGAGGATCTACCTCTTTCCCATTCTACGCAAATAAAAAGTGTCTGGAGTGCAACATTTCCCAGCATGCTCTGCTCCACCGTGCTGCTTTGAGGGTTAGGAGCCTTGCCTGCAAATGCAACAGGAAAGGGAGACGGAGCTTGCCAAGGTCTGCAGAGAAACATATTGTAATGGCTGCTATTTAACCATGGTAACGTGGGGTCTCTACATACAGGCTTCATGAGCGGTGCATGGAGTCTACATTATGAGCATAGCCCATATGTCTTTGAACTGTTACCATGGGAACACTTACCCACAAACTAGCAGAAAGCACAAAGACACACTGGCAGACAAAAGAAGCAAGGAAGAAAAGGGAGAAAGGTAAGACAATTTCTGAAAAAAAACAGCCTTCGCCCTCAAGAAAAAGAAAACGAGAAAGGCTAAAGACAAGAAAATAAAATGAAGACATACAAAGAGTGCAGAACCTGGCAGGGCAGGACCTGCTCACCTTCGCTAGGCTGGCCGTGAACAGGACGCACTCAAACAACTCGCCCATCTTCTGAAGGAATTCATCTACGTGCGGTCTCTTCAATACGTACACCTAGGAGGTACAACGGGCAAGAAAATGGAAAAGTAAAATTAACGGAAAAGTAAAATTAAACATTTTAGTCCAGACCTATCAAAGTTATACAAGAAAAAGATATACGCTCTATGAATGAAGAATGAAAACTACATCAATAACTAAACCATTTCTTTTTTTTTTTTACTTGTGAGAAAGCCATTAACAAGAACAATGGCCACAATATTTGGCCAAGAAGTCAAATCAAGAAAGACAATAGAACGTATGTTAGTATAAGCTGGGAGAGGTCTAACAGTGCTGGGTCTAATGGAGTATATTAAGAAACATTTGAATGGATGGTGGTCAAACTAGTAGGTAGCAAGTAAATGAAAGAGGGGGAGGCCTCAATTTGTAGATTAGTAAGTGCAATTCAAATTAAGAGCTCCAATCCAGTGAAAAACCAACCCAACAAGTCCAATGTATAAGATGGCCTCAGCTGCTACTCCGGTCATGCCGCTAACACATTTCACCCTGCCTCAACCATTGTGACCAAGTCCAGGTGGGCAGGGCGAAACGCATCACAAGGCATGGCCGGGGTAGCGGTGAGGCCATCCTATACATCGGACTCATTTGTGCAGCATCATTTTTTTTTTTTTCACTGGATTGGAGCTACTTTGCGACACTGCTCCTTTCTTCCATATACCGGCGGGGTGGATCTTCTTTACTATATGGCGTGCAGCGGAACCAAAAAGTTAATTCTGCTGACCATCAATTTAGGAGGGGTGTGGAATACCAATTGTAGGATCACTGCTTAAAAATCTAAGTAGATACCATTGAATATATTGAAAGTGTTGCATTACAGATTACTACAGGCAAGGTTTGAATGAAGGATTCCCAAATGATGAAGAAACTTTGAAACCCGTAATTCCCTATGCAAGGAGGCCTCCACCCATTTCATGCGAAAAACGCAGGACAATTTGGCTATGAATATAGAGTTAGTAGGGGGTTTTGAGTAAATCCATTTATGTAAAATATTTTTTTTTTGTACCACAAGGGATATGATGGTAAGGAGCTGCTTGCGGCCCATTGAGATTTTAATGCCCGAAAAATTGATCAGTGCCAAAAAGAGCCCAAAATATGGAGGAGAGCAAGTTGGTGCAGAGCATGGAGTCTAGTGGGGGGGGGGGGGGGTAAGAGCAAGGAGCAAGCCTCTTCCCAGTGCCAGATTATAAGAATCTGCATATTGGGTAGCTATAACATTCTTTTAAGAATGGAACTTCATCAGAAGGGGGGAGGGGAGTGCATGTGTATTTGTACTGCAATTGATAGCTAATCAGTGGGGTGTGTCCTATGGATGACCACTACAGAGATCACTGCACAGCATACTGTACTTCATCTCTTCTTGCATACAGTAGAATAGCTACTTAAAATAGCTATGTTTGGGCAGGAATGCATGGTAACAAGTGCATTTAAGTTTTTTCCGAACTGTGGTCAAAAAGTTTATTTTTGGTAGTCCACAACCAACATGGTAAGGGTCCATATAGCAAAAGTCTAATTCTCCTTTAGTCTCCAAACTATATGGCCAGTGGTCTCCAAACTATGGCCCAGGGGCCGAATGCGGCCCTTTGCTTGCCTTTATCTGGACCTTGAGGCACTATTTCTAGCACGGACAAAAGGCACTATTTCCCCTGCTGACACCAACAGTGGGGCACCAATTCATCCCACTGACACCAAGAAAAGAGCACTATTTCTACTGACATCAGAAATAGGGTACCATCACTTCCACTGACACCAACAGTGGAGCATTATTCCTCCCACTGACACCAACAGTTGGGCCCTATTCCTCCGACACCAACAATGTGGTACCATTCCTCCCACTGACACCAGCAATGAAGCACTATTCCTCCCACTGACACCTACAGTGGGGCACCATTCCTCCCACTGACACCAGCAATAAAGCACTATTCCTCCCACTTGCACCTACAGTGGGGCACCATTCCTCCCACTTGCACCTACAGTGGGGCACCATTCCTCCCACTTGCACCTACAGTGGGGCACCATTCCTCCCACTTGTACCTACAGTGGGGCACCATTCCTCCGACTGAGAGCAGCAATGGGGCACTACTTCTCCCACTGATACCAATGGTGGGGCATTATTTACTCCCAAGGTATTTTCTACTCTACCCCTCTGTCCAAGTCCAAATGACAGTAAACTGGCCCTGTGCTTGGAATGTTTGGAGATTTCTGTTCTAGGGGACAAGATTTACTTACCTTATTTCTTGCTTCTGGAGGCTTCCTTTTGTCAAAATTACAATTCTCCAGAAACAGCTTCTCTTCACCAGTTGTGTGGCTTTCCCCTTGCTGACGTCATCATGTACAATGCAAGACCGGTTGTCCTGCATCGTACATGAAAACATGACAGGGATTCTAACCCTTCCCTACACTATTCAAACCTTAGAAAATAAAAGTTTTGGCTTTGGGTTTGCTTTAGCTCTGTAGCATATAACTACTGGTCTGTACTGTACAGAATTCACTTTTTAACCTAAAAGTAAACACATTCAGATCATGAAACTTTGTGGTAGGTGTTCCATGTGAAGGAGATGAGCCGCTGTCCGGGTGCAGAGAGATGACACACAGCTGTCTCCCAATGCAAGTAATCGAGGGTAGGCCAGGTGCAGAGTGAACAGCCTATCCTGGATTACTTGAACCGGGCACCAGCCTTATTCCACCTTACAGATCCGAGATCCTCTTCACTGCAGCTATGAAAGGAAATCAAAGATTGAAGAGCTAATGTAGGCAAGAAGTAAGTTTACTTAGTAAATGGCTAATGCTACCCAGGAACTATTTTACCGTACTGAACACAGAAAGTCAATTTACCATGACAAGTGAGAGGTCTATCTATAATGTGGTGGCACACAGACTAATTATGACCTCACCACTGCGTCCCAATGAAAATATTCCAACAAGAGCGCTGGACTCCTTAGTAGGAGATCCAAATTCTGGAGGCAGCTCTCTATCAACCAGGAGATCCATAGGGGTCCCTAGGAGTAGTGTAAAGGATGTAGCCAGGAAGAAAAGAGCACCACTAATCTAATGTGAGTCCAGTAAGCCATTATTGCCAATTAAAAGAGGTCAGAAGAGAAAGCCAATGCGTGCTGGGGGCTCAACCCCCCACCCCCACCTTTCATCAAGGTTTAGATGCTGGCAGTAAGGCTCCATGCACACCGGCTTTTTTTTTTAACCTCCCTGGCGGTCTGATTATTTCAGATTTTTGGTGCTGAAAGCGGTACCATTATTTTGCATGGAAATATGTAGTTTTTTTTTATTGTAAGCCTGTAATTTTTAGGAATAACTCACTGAAATCTGTCCAAACAAGAGTCTAGTAAACATCCCGGGAAGGCTAAAACTTGAAACACGAAATCATAAATTATAATTGAATAATCATCATAAAAAAGAATAATATAATAATAATAAAATTCAATAATATAATCAAACCAAAAACACTGAAATGTGAAATAGAGCGCCAAGTTCGCACATCACTGAGCTCAGTCGCAGAATTGTTTTCAGTGTCTGATGACGAAATTCCCCCACGAATCATTATCACTCAATTCTGCAAGTGGTTCTGATTTACTATCGCTGTTCTCTAGCCGGTCTAAAACCGCTTTTGACCTAAAGGGACGCTTTTTGGACGCCATGGACGTTTCTCAGTTTCCAGGCAGAAAACAGTCAAAATGCAGGCAGGGCGCAGGACAAAATGTTTGTGAAATGCTTTGAAACAGCAATGTTTTGCTATGTAATATTCGTTTACAAAAGAATTACAGTTTAAATTTGCCGCTGGTTCCGGCCCTCATACGTCCCGAAATCACAGGGACCGGAAGCCAGATGCCGGCATCGGCCGGAGGAGATGGCCGGGGACGCTGCAGGAAGGACATCGTGGGAGCGCAGAACAAGGTGAGCGCTGCAGGGAATCCCTGAACAACGCCGCATGGTATTCCCGAGTGTAGCTCGGGGTTACCGCTTGTGGTACTGAAGCTCTACCCCAAGCTACACCTGGGAATACCTCCAGGATTAAGCTCCCAGAAGCTATTAGCATTTTTTTTCTGCTCCTAGAGACTAAATAGTGTTCTCTATGTGTCCATCATGCACACTACTGCAGGCTGTTAGCAGTTTTCAAGCTTCTCCGTTTAGGAGCAGAGAAAAAAATTGTTTTTGTAGCGTTTTTTGGGAGTGTTTTTCCAGCAGAAAAAAAAAACACTGAACACTCCTAAATGCTCTTAGACACTACTAAAATGCTCCTAACACCTTTTTTTTTTAGCTTTTTTTGTCTTGATGTACTGTAAAAATGCTACTAAAAAACGCTAATGCTCCTAAACGCTGCTACAAGCTGGCACAAAAATGATATTATCAGCATTTTTCATCCAGCTTCAGCATTTAGGAGCAGAGAAATTGTTTTTGTATAGTTTTTTGGAGCAGTTTTTCAGCAGAAAAACAAACACTAAACACTGCTAAATGCAACTATATATGCTTCTAACCACTTTTTTCTACATGTACTGTAAAAATACTAACACTTCTAAAATACTACTAAAAATGCTATTACCAGCGGTTCTAATCCAGTGTTTTTTCATTATTTTTTGAGCTTAAAAAAAAAAAAAAAAAAGCGCTAGTGTGCATGGAAACTAAATGGAGAGTCGTGGAGAATGCGGTGTTGCTACACAATCTGGTAATAAGCATACCTGATTCTGGATATTTATAAATATCATCAATATCCGCTTTGAGAGAATACAATTTAAGGCTCCAAGCACACTAGTGTTTTGTTTTATAAGCTCAAAACCATTAGAGAAAAAAAAAAAAAAACTGATAGCGTTTTTTTTGTGCCAGCTTGTAGCAGCGTTTAGGAGCATTAGCGTTTTAGAAGCGTTTTTATAGCACATCAAGGAAAAAAAAAAAAACTAAAAAAAAAGTGTTAGGAGCATTTTAGTAGTGCTTAGAAGCATTTAGGAGCGTTCAGCATTTTTTTTCTGCTGGAAATACACTCCCAAAAA